CTTACGCGGCCCCACTCCTGCTCCGGGGGCAGAGGCGATTTCTGCCGCCCACCCTGTGCAAACCAGCCCCGAGCTGTTTGGGATTTGTAGGCTGGCTGCAGACACCCCCGGCGCTCCGCTCGCTGCCACAGGGCTGCTCCGGCCCGGGGCGCAGCGGGATGCTCACCTCCCAATTCAGCCTGGGCAGAGGCCAACCGCCAGCCACCAACGGCCCAGCGTGGCCTGAAACCTGGGATCTGTCACTCGAGCAGAGGCAGGGCGGGTGACCAACCCCCACGGTGACCATCTCCACGGGCGTAACGGGCGTAACACCAGCGGGAGGGACCACATGCCCGCGGATGTTTGTGAGCGGGCTGCACGCACACGCTCAGGGCAGCTGAGAAGGGAGTTATGATTTATAGGCGGTTGGTTTGTTTGTGGGTTTGGTGAGGTCAGGGAGTTTTTGGGGGTTTGTTTTTTGTTTTAGTATCACCATTAACCTTTCAAAGAGATCAAACTATACCACAAGCCGGGATCCCAGAGCACTCCACAGCCCGGGTTGCCCCATTAATCCACAGCCCATCCTTCCAAAAGGAGCACATCACTGGCAGATTACAATCTTTCTAGATGTAATCATGCTTTAGCATCTTTCTTCAAAATTTTAACGGGTAAAAATTCCCCATCTCGGTGCAAGATTGCATCATGAATTCCCTCTGCCTCGTACATCAGGGATGGAAAAATACTACTTTTCATCCCTGCACAATGCTTGATGTAAGTTTCTGAAAATGAGCGCTCTAGTAAGCCTAAAAATGTAGGATAATATGATTCATTTATAGATCTCTGATAATAGATGTGGTTTCTGTTACTCCGTTACCACATCAAGGATTACTCCTGCTCCTTCAGGAAGGACACGGCACCCTCCTCCTCCCGAACCATTACCATAAAGCGGGATAAACAACAAATACCACCTTATCATTAGCTGCGTGGAGCAGTTCCCATTGATTTATGACGCTAAACACCGCGAGGCTGGATCAAGCCGCAAGCCCCTTTTTTTTTTTTTTTTTTCAAATATTATTTTCACGAGACCATCATAAAACAGAAGGAGCCACCTCACCTGGGGTTTTTTTTAAAAAAAAAAAAAAAAAAAATGTTTTACAACTTGCGGGAATTCTTCCCAATATTAGTTATTAACAACCCCGAGACGGCATTTGCATTTTTATAACCTTGTTACTTAAAAGTGAGACAGTAGAAGGAGAGACTTAGCGATAGTGTTCCCTGCGTGCTTTAATCCCAGCCTGAGCTTTTTATGCTTGAGAGCACCTTATGATGCTGTAACTAACCTCAAACCTGGAGCAGCAGGAGGGCAACAAACCCCCGAATACAGCGATGTCATGCTTTACAGGCATACTCTCTGCAACAGCATGAATGAAGGAAAAAAACCCCGTTGCCTAGGAAACACTCTGGTCTTGGTAATTATTACTGTAACTGTCTGCACACCCCACCTATAACAGAAATGAATAATAAATTACCATCCCCGGCTGGCGGCTTCCCGGGGCCGCCGCTGCTCGGCGCCGCTCCCTACCGGCGCGCGCGGGGAGCGGCAGGCCGCGCGCCCCCGGGGG